AGCAGCAAGTGCTCCAGCCACACTGCCCAACATAAGAAGTATGTGGACCTGTTGGGGTGAGTTCAGAAGAAGGCCACAAAGCTGATCAGAGGGCTGGAGCACCTCTCCTATGAAGACAGGCTGAGAGACTTAGGGTTGTTCAGCCTGGAGAAAAGAAGGCACCGGCAAGACCTTATAGCAGTCTTCCAATACATAAAAGGGGCCTACATGAAATCTGGAGAGGGACTTTTTACAAGGGTATGCAGTGATAGGACAAGAAGGAATGACTTTAAACTGGAAGAGGGTAGATTTAGATAAGATTATCATTACAAAAATAATCTGTAGTGACAGGACAAGGGGGAATGGCTTTAAACGGAAAGAGGGTAGATTTATATGAGATATTAGGAAGAAGTTCTTTACTGTGAGGGTGGTGATGAGACACCAGAACAGGTTGCCCAGAGAAGCTGTGGATGCCCCATCCTGGAAAGTGTTTAAGGCCAGGTTGGATGGGGCTTTGAGCAACCTGGTGTAGTGGAAGGTGTCCCTGCATGTGGCAGGAGGGTTGGAACTGGATGATCTTTAAGGTCTCCTCCAACCCAAACCATTCTATGATATTTCTGTTTCAAAAATGGAAGTGAGAAGTGTTACTATTACACTCCTCTATCTTTCCTTTCTACTAGAACAATGAAAAGAGACAGTTTTCCTGTCAATGTAAATTTACGTTCTGCAGGACTTGTGAAGTGACAAATTTATATGGCTTCAAAGAAGCCATGTGCACATGCAAAGAGTGACTATCAAGACACCACATTTGGCTCAGTAAGTCCCTGACCTACAAACTTTTGGGGACCATAGGGACATTCTGGGGAAATAATGCTATGTGCTTGCCCCACTCTTTAGTTCTTTGGGTTTCATCTTTCAGCTGCTGTTTGGGACAGGTTATCAAGCCTAAATGTACCTTTAATCTGACCAAGTAAAACCATTATTATATTCATTACAGATATTTATGCCTTTACTGGTAAGATTTGACTTCAGGAAGCCCAGGCCCCTGACACACATGCAAAAATCTGGGGCAAAAAGATCTTTCCCTCAGTAGAGGAAGATCAGTTGAGGGAACACGAGTTGAACTGTTCTTTCTCATCTGTTCAACAGACTACTTCTGCTAGACCAGTTGGGAACTAAATATAGCTGCTTTTGACACTACCCAGGATCGTGTAATTTGTTTACTTTAACCATCTTTGAGTATCTATATTGCTAATAAAAGAATTTCAAGAATTTATTGCAGTTCTGCAATATAGTGGAATGCAGGCTTTATGTTTCTACTCAGTGATGTTGTCCTTGCAGTTTTGTTTTGTTTTTTTTTATCATTCACGTTACGGTCTTTGCACAATTTCTGTTCTCTTGTCCGACCTGAGGATTGCAAGTAACAGTAAGAGAGAAAAAATACCGTGAGAGAGAAGGGGAAAAATTGAGTGGCTGTCAGTGAAGCACACTGGTACACAAGTTCTGAGGTGGGTACATTTTTATGTTTGTTTGTTATAGGTTGCAAAAGAAGTCTGGTGTTTGTGATATAGTTCTGAAAATTGTGGGTATATTTCTTGTTGTTAGCGGTAGCTTTCAGATCTCTCGTGAATAGTTTGTGCAACACCTCTTACTGAAAATTTTGATCACTTTTTGATTGAAACAATCATTTGCTTTCTTGTAGAGATGTTATTTTGGTGTTTGGTGGTTTTTTTTTTCAGCCCTGTAAATTGCTGTACAAGCATGATCCAGTGGTGGATGGTGTAAATTGTTGCTTGTAGCTAGATTTATTTTTAAAATTATCTCTTTTTTTTATTGATAGAGGTTATACTCTCAATCAGTTTGTATTTTGCAAGAATAACAAATTCACCCAGCTTTTTCTTAATGAAATGATCTACCAGTATATAGTGGTGTCACTTAACTGTAAGACTGAGATTGATGCTGTTGGCTTACCTCTATTTCTGGTTTATGGATCTTATTGCAAAGGGAAATGATATATAAAAGTAACACTCTGTAAATAGGTATTTGAACCCATAGACTTGGCATACTTTCTTCTTGCTAACTTGTAGCTTAGAAGACTGGGGCTGTATTAGGTGATACTTTTTTGTTTTGTCCAGGTAACTAGAGTATTTATTCTTTCTGTGCATGCTGAGTCAGTATATAGCTTGCAATAACCTGTTGGAAAGTAGGTGTATGCACACTGACATAGGACATTTTGAGTGAGTCCTTGTTTGTGTTAGCTTAACCTATTGTCCTAGTTTTGGCTGGGGTAGAGTTGATTTTCTTTGTAGTAGCTATTATGGGACTATGTTGTAGGTTTGTGCTGCAAACAGTATTGATAATTCAGGGATGTTTTCATAATCACTGAGCAGTGCTTACACAGAGTCCAGGCTTTTTCTGCCTCTCATACCAGCCCATTGGAAAGGAGGCTTGGGGGTGCACAAGAAGTTGGGAGGGGACACAGCCGGACAGTTGACTTCAACTAACCAAAGGGTCATCCCATATAATATGATATCATTCTCAGCAGAGAAAGCTGGGGAAAAAAAAAACCAAGAGAGGAGGGGACATTTGGAGTAAGGGTGTTTTGTTTTCCCATGTAATAATTATGCATGATGGAGCCCTGCTTTCCTGGAGATGGTTGAACATCTGCCTGCTGATGGGAAGTAATGAGTGCATTCATTGCTTTTCTTTGCTTGTGTGTATGGCTTTTGCTTTTTTTATTAAACTGTGTTTATCTCAACCCATGACTTTTTTCACTTTTCCGATTCTCCCCCTCATCCCCAACATGGGGGGAGTGAACAAGTGCCTGTGTGGTGCTTAGTTGCTGGCAGGGGTTAAACCGTGACACATTTTTTTCATGATACAGACTTTTTAGGGAATGTACCTACCTGCCATTTGGTTTTCTTGAAGACAGCCATCTTGTTGAGAATAGCAGATTTCAGGTTGATATAGTCCATTAAAAAATGATATCCAGTTATTTGTATGGAAAAGTATGTTTTAGCACGTTTAGTTTTGGAGTTGGCATGTATTCCATTGCTGCTTTTGGCCCGGGGATGTTGTATCTGTCATTCAGAGCACTGGTATGTCCCATTGGGGTCACAGAGAGCCTGGCACTACAGTGGGCACTACAAATGCCAAAAAACTTGATTGTGGTAGTATGGCAGACCTGTGAGGTGCAGAATCATTGCTGCTTCTGTGATCATGCCATTTTACCACTTGTGTATTGATACGTTGGTCTGAAACTATGAGTCTTTCAGAGAGGTCTAAGACAAACCAGGTTCATTAATGTGTGCTTCATTACTGAGGAAAAAAAAAGAAAGAGGAACATTTGTGTGTATGTGAAAATATACCCAGTTGTGATTGTTCAACCAGATAACGTCAAAAAGATTTTGTCTCTTGGCATAAGAAAATATTTTATCATGTTCCTTTGCCTAGGTTCATTAGAGTGTCTAACATTGAAAATAGTTGTGTCATACAGTTCTCCATAAATTAGAAGTACCCGGGGCCTTTGAACATTTGTGCATTTTGAGTAAATGCATTGGTACCAGGACCACTTTTGAGCACCATAAATATTTGAGGACAGTGGGTCAAAGTAAAGAAGAGGAAGGACAGAATAAGAATAACTGAAATAATCTTTTGGGAGGATGATACTTGATCCTAACAGCTCAGGGCTTCCATTATGACCAGAATGCCTAAACATTAAAACTTAAAACAACTTTGAAATGAAGCAGTTAACTTCTTCCTGCTGTACAAAAGTCACTCAGCTCCAGAATGACACCTGTATTTCTGGTTTAATATTATAACTGGCAAAATGCATTGTGAAACTGCATAGTAAAATGCCAGCACTGTAGAAGATTACCAGAAATCCAAGAACCCATGTAGTAAAGAAAAAAGAAACTGAAGTATGGAGGTTTAAGATGAGTCTTAAAAAGACAAGTAATGTTTTGAATAGCAAATAATTTATGCAAAATATGTTACAAACTCTAAAATGCTAAATAAACAACCAATACAATGTATTCTGTTTTGATACTTTGTTTCCACTTAAAGATAGTGAATGCAGATTAATTTAACAATATTTTGAAACTATTTTTCATTATATTTGCTTTATATTTTGTACAAACAATTGGACTATAATTTTAAATTTCAGTCCTCTGAAGCTACATGGAAATATGGTGGGATAAACATTCAGAAAAATAGATTTGTGGTTATATAATTTCTCTTTATTATAAAAAAAGTTGCTTCACCATATGAAACTTTTCTCTCCTGTATTTTGGAAGGCTCAGGTTCCCTTTTATATTTCACCAAGTTGGCATGATATAATGTGTTTCTAATTTTTGTAATCTTTGTGATTACAACATGAGGGTAGTATTATAAAAGTTATTCTCATACAGTATCAAGAAATCTTGAAGATTTAAAACCAAAGAATGGGAGATAGCAATGCTTCAATCCAGATATTAAATGCTAGACAAATAAGCAACGTAGTAATTGTTAAAGACTTAATACTACTTTTTTTTTTTTTTTTAATATTTAAAGGTTTAGTGCTTTTTGGGTTTGGGGTTTTTTTTTTTTTTTTTGTTTGGTGATTTGGTTTTGGGTTTTTTTTTTCTGTTTCTTAGCTTGATGTATCAGAATGTTAAAGGATTATTACCCTTTACCATTTGGTCCAAATTACTGTATTTTTCAGCAAAGTAGAGGTTTCTTGCTTTTGAGTAACAGTTTACATACTAGCAGTAGAATAATTCCAAAGGCCTGTTTCTGTTGCCACTTTTGTCAGCAGCTATCTTTGACAGAAGTAGGTTTTGCGCCCATTTGTCTTTAAGTAGAAATACAAATGCCTAATTTGGCAGGCTATACTTTCACAGCAGATTTTGTAAAGACAGCTGCCTAGTGAAGTCTCCTGTCCATATTGTCTTGCAGAACAGTGAGACTTTACAAAACTTCAGCATCAGCCAAAAGTGCATACATAAACTCTGTTGATAAAATATATCTGTTTACCATTACATTTTTCTGATCTAGAAATCAGGCTGTATTTCAAGGCAATAGGTAAGGTTGAAGAGAATTGTTACATTTTTCTATATTTTCATTTATAAGAAAACTTGCTTATGTATTTCAAGAATTTCTTAGAAGTCTGAATAGTTAAACCCTCCTTTTGGTTAATGCATTACTTTTGGAACCAGTAGATAAAATTCTACACATTAAACACAGTAAAAACGGTGCATATTCTGCAAAGGACAGAATTTTAGATTAAAGTTTCCTGGGCACAAAAGCAGTAACAAAATGATCCCTACAAAACAGAGTAACTTAATAACACAAGAAATAACTTTTGTTAATTTGAAACTTTAGAAACTGAAACTTGTAAATTAAGATGTAATTAAATTATGGTACTGTACATACCAGCTGTTCTTGGTAATTGAAACTTTACAATATGAAAAATACATTACATCTGTACAGTTTATACAGGTAGGTAGGATGAGTTTTGAAAAAGATTCACTTGAAGGGTCATACTTTGAAGTCAAAAAAATACTGCACAGCTTAACTAATTACAAATTGTAGACTTGAAACAATTAATCTTTGTGATCAATTTTTAATTTGAACAGGGATCCTAGAATCCATAATATATGTCTTCTAACTTCTGTTCATAATGTTACATAGAATTTGGTTGCAGCCTCTGCTAAAGGAAAAAAGGACAACAAAAAACCTTCAACCCAGTTAAGCCAGCTGCTGATTGTGTTCCTTGATTCGTGCTGCTGTTGTTATTGTGCTCAGATCCAGATCAGTTTCTAGGTGTGTTTCCACTGTTTCTTCCTGGTTATTCGAGTCATAGGGCTTGTGAGCAAGCAGTTCATGATGTACTCCACAGTAACTTATCGTGGGCTGATCATAGGCAAGAAATGTTGACACATTCATAGACAATGGTATCTAGGGGAAAAACAAAGATGAAAACCAGCCAATTACCAAGACATAATCAAATTGTAGTTGCCTGAATTTGATCTAAGAAATGGGCTGTCTAAAAACATTAGCTAATGCCAAATGTAGTGCTGCATGTAATGAATTTCTTCTTTTTCTCTACCCCTCTACCCCTTCTGCTCCACCCAAACCTTGGTTTTTACTAGGGTATCTTACACCTAACCACTACCATCTTTGATCTTGTGGCACAGGGTAGGTGTGTGCTTGAATGTGTTTGTGAGGGTTAGGATGTAAGAGTTCAAATTATCTTTAGAATGTAATTAGCGTTTGTTAAAATCAGTCTATCAGGGAGGAGAAAGAGGAGTGATTCAACTGAAGATATGTGGAATATGTAGAATGAAATTTAAGTGAGTTCAAGTTTAAGAGTGGCTTAAGGCTGGTGGATCTTGCTTGAATATATCAGTGGGTGAGATACCTTTGGTCTGCTGGGAAATACAGATGTCATGTTTCCTGTTATTTATAGCATATGCATCAATTTGAATCTAGCAGCTTTCAGTAAATATTGGACCATGGTAGATGATGGCTTCATCCACTGCTATGCTATGATAGCTGTGGAAGCTTCATCATTGCAGGTTTCATTCAAATGCTTTAGGCTGAAAAGTTATTAACTTTTTTTTACTATTTTCTTGAGGATTTTGAACACACTTCAGCATAGAATTATTTACAATACACTGTAGAATCACAGCTTAAATTTATTCAGATTTTTCATTATATCTGTATTATTAGATTTATTTTTATATATATTAAATAATCGAAGGTTGAAAAAGGTGACTATATTGTAATGGCTGTGAGAGTTATGTGTTAAAGTATTCTAAAATCAGATTTCCAGTCCATTGTAAAACCAAAGAGAACAATTTTTATTTGTTGCTTTTATTGTTCTCTTGTTACCATTTTGAAGATCGGCTGAAATGTAATAAAACTGCATTTGAAGATAGGTAATATTTAAAAGCATTTGAATTTGAAATGTGAAATAGTACAAACTAACACTGTTTCTCATTAACACAACTGGTTGATGCATTTGGATGTCCCACTTGTACTTCATGACAGCACCTTGGAGGTCCCATTATAAACACCACTCTTATGCTATGCAAAACATGGAGGTAGACTGAAAAATATAAGGAAGTGGATGACTTTTCTACCTACATATGAGATACTGATAGCTCAAGAAGAGCTGAATAACATTCAGCTTAGAAGATGGATGTATGTAGCACATCATAGGATAATACTGTCTGAATCAAAAGAATATTAGTTAAACCCACGATAAAACTGTGTCTTCACAGGATAGAATCAGAAAAACAGTGAAATACGTCTTTTTCTATCCTTACTTTTGTATTTGAAAGATTTAAGTTTAAAGATACCACAGTGCATCATAGGTGTCTGGTCATCCATATCTCTTCACTCCGAGATATTCATGAGCTTTCTCTCTGCATTTTGTGTAGCCACCTTGGATTTGGGTTTGGATTTTTTATTTATTTATTTTATTTGGATGAAACCCTGGATGAACACCTAGGCTTTCTAACAATAATGAAAAGACTTTACCTGAGGAAGAACTCTGGTATTTTAAATACAGGCAATAAGAAAAAATGCTCCACATTTCCTCACCCCACTTCATAAACGCTGGCAGTATCTTATCTTAAACTACTCAACATTTCCTTTTATAGCTCCAGATATATTTCCTAAACTAATTTAATGAATGCAGCACAATATTGGATGCACTATGTGCACGGATTACTTTTGTAGTCTGCAATGCAATGAACATGTATGTACTCTCTCCAGAAGCTTTGCTCTCATGATAGATGAAAGACCACAGGCATATGCTATGTACTCATGATTACTGTGGTCACATCCAGAACCCTGAACCCTAAGTGGTCTCCTCAAGTAGCTGTTTCAATATAACCATCACAGTTCTCAATCCCTACTTGTAAACAGGACAGATTTCCTGCCTCCCAGGATGATTGTGCCTTTGGTTCCTGTGGTACTGTAGGATGAAAGCATCTCTTTATGCATAACCTGAAGACTGCCATAAATTCTAGAGGAGGGATGTAAGCAAAGTCAATTCCATCTCCATTCATATTGTTTTGATGAGACATCTGTGCCTGAGGGAGAGACAGAATTTCTTGCTGAATGAACCACCTTAGTAAACAGTGAGGATAGAAGGATGTGGGTGTACAAAAAGGAGAAGTGACTTAGAGGCTCTGGCTGTACAGGACATCGTGTAGATGCACCGGTACTTTTTTCTCTGACTGTTCAGCTGATTTAGTTGTATTATTTGGGTTGCTTTTTTTCCTTTCCTTTTTTTTTTTTGCAGGAGCAAAAGGTGGTACATGGCCATGAATCACTAATGCCCATCCACACTTCCATGGAAACCAGACAACCAGAGAAAATGTTGTACAATCTGGCTTGAAATGTGCTGTTGTCCACATTTTGGTTGAAACAGTCAATGAAGAAACAGTTAGTGGGAGTTCCAGCAACCCTATATTGTTTCAGTAAGGAAATATAAAACTCTAGACTTGTTTTACATAGAAGTTGTAGCTAAAAGGTTGCATATACAAAACTATAGCAAAAGAGATTTTTTAAAAAAATAATTCTGTTCAGTCCTGACAAGAATCCAGTTCTTGGGCTGCTGATGTTTTTGCATTTCTGTTTTGATCCTTTTTTTACATGAGACTGAGAATTTGGTTCTGGCTTCTTTTTAGCAGTTAAAGAGATCTGCAGGAAATAGCTTATTTTTACCAGACTACAGAAGTATATTCATTACTAAACAGATATGAACTGGTTCAGGAGGGGAATGCTTCTAGCTACAGATGAGTATCTTGGCAGTCAACAAAGACGGGAAAGGATCTAGCAAAGGCGTACAGCATTTATTAAGCCTCTAGTGTTGTGGCTATGTTCTTATCTAATTGCTTGACTGACCTTGGCTTGGCTTTCATAAGAAACAGAATTATGGTGGAGGTTTTTTTCTGAATTAATTGTATTTAGAATTAGATGCAATATTTTCAGCCTGAGGATTTTGATATTTTGTTAAATGTAATGGATATGGGGTGTTCAAACCTCCTGGGGGAAATTCAAGACTGGGCCACAGAATCCTGGAAATGAAAGCTTGGAAACTAAAGGTATAAGGGCATAGCCACAGATCTGGAGTGGCTTAAGAATGTAGGCATAGGAAAATATGGTAGGGCAAAGAAATATTATATATCTCTACCATGGAGATGGTAGAGATAAAGATCTGAAAAACAGATGATCACAGACAGGAGGGATGAAAATAAGTAAATGATGTTGTACACAAGAGTAGAATAAAATGAGGTGAAGGATAGAAGTAATAGAAGTGATGGAGCTGAAATGTATCATTCTGACAAAATAGAGAATATAGTGTTGTCATTACAACATAGGCATGGGAATATAATACATTGTCATATGGTCAACGTATGAGAATTAAAGCTATTTCATACAGAAGTCAGTGGAATTTTGCAATTGGCTTCAGTAAAAAAAAATAAAAATTGAATCGTTATGCATGTGAAACAGAAAAAGGTGTGGAAGGAATAAAATACATTGGGTTTATTAGACAATACATTAGAATACATTTTAATTAGCGTATTTAAGAATTCTTATCTAAACTGCCTCTTTCATGAGTCTTAACATCATGACTTCACTTTGAATTACAAACGAAGGCAGTTTCTGTCTTCATTTGGGAACCCCCTGATGCATTCCTAGTTTTTCTCCTGTTTCCTGTACATGTGTACCTCACTATTGAATGTTGCTCGCAGCAAAGCATCACTGAACCTGTTTTATTAATATTTACCAGCCAATATTTCCAGGACATATTTGATTCTTAACTAAAAACCCCTGTTTTCCACAACCTTTCTTATTTGCAAATCACTTGTCAAATTGTGCTTTGTTTTTGCAATCTCATGGCTTTTCAGCCCACTCTACAACATGCCTATGCCAAACTTGATTATGCTGTTCTCTTTAGCATGGGCTGACTCATTATCTGTTTTCCTCTGTCACTCTTTATCCTATTTCTCCATATTTCTCATCTGCATGTTTCCTAACCTTGTCCACTGATCTTCCCTTCCATTTCTCTAAGTCATCACTTTGCACAATGTGTCGTGATTTCATCTCTACCTGCCTTTTGCTCTCCAGTGACTCCGTCCCTCTGCCAGTCCACTGGTTCCGTGGTCTGGCCTACGCCAAGCTCATTCCTCTGAAATGCATCTTATCCTGCCCTCTTTGAGAGCTGTCTCTTGTAGCCAGAACTACCTTGCATAATAGATTCTACAGGCACAGTTTCTCAATTTTTCCTGTCTGCGTCTTTTCCAAGCAGTCCTCCGCAGGTGCTGTTTGTTTTCATTTGCAGCATTGCAGGGCATTGTAATGCCTATCCCAGATTTTATCACAGGCCTTTCAGAACATTTAACCTGTTTTCTGTGTCCTCATTTTCTCTCAAGAAGAACTGATTTTCACCAAATCCTTTTCCATTGCTCTCTAGCACTGTTATTTCCCTAAGAAGCCTATATTGACTTGATTGTTCATTTTTCTTCTGTTGCTCTAAGATGCAGAGAAAATGGTATGTAAGAGTGTAATCCAAAAAGTCGTGTTTCAGTGTTGCTGGACTAGACCAGTTCTGTGAATTTTTGGGCTTGTGTAAGAAACTACTTCTCACGCTAAATGGAGAAAGCCAGTTGAATATACACCCCAGGCACAGCACAGTAGCCTTGAAGAAACTCTGCTCCTTAACTGTTCCCGTTTTCTTCCAATAACTTAGATAGGTCTGGGAATATTTGAAGTACTTCCCAGCATTCTGATTTATTGATAAAGTTGTGCACTTATTCACACTTCTTAACTGGCTTCTCCTTGAAGCTGAGTTTCTGTTCCTTATGGAGTCTTAGGACAGGACTATAGCAAGATTGTTCTGTACGACTGCCTATGCCTCCATCCCCTGCACTGCTGCATTT